CTGAACCCGGTGCGTAACTTTGGCCCGAGTGCTTTGCTGCAGTAGATGGGAAGGGTGCAACAGCGTTCCCGGTGGTTCCACTCCCTGCAAGCTCCCCTGGAGCTGCAGACCCTCCCCACTCCCCTTCCAAGGGCTGGGTGGTTTGCGGTGCCCTAGGCAAGGGCAGCCTTGTCAGGTGCCCTCCATGTGCAAAGTGAACAGGAGAAAGCCTGCAGAACTGAAGCAAAAGCACTTCAGAGTCTCTAGGAGTGCTGGGTGCTGGTGCTCACAGGGATGGCAAAGCCTCCCTCCCACCCCCCACGACATCTGTGTGTGGCTCCCAGAGCTGAGGGCTCACAGAAGAGGGCAGGGTTTGCCCGTGCTTCACAAACTGATGTAATATCCTCCTGAATTCAAGGTATCTCCTGCAACCGTAAGTAACCGCGGGCCAATATAGTGGAGCACAGGGTCATAAGCTTCATAATTCTCTGTTTTAATACTGCATAGTGTGGTTTACCAGGGGAAGAGGCTGACAACCATAGAGCTCCTGCCTGTGATCAATGCTTATATTTTCCTTCCCTTCTCCTTTTATTTTTCTTTAGCACCAGTACCATTCAAAAATAGATGAACTAATTGAGGAAACCGTCAAAGAAATGATAACACTCCTAGTGGCAAAGGTAACCTTCGGCTCCAGGTGAAGTGATTCACTGTTAACATTGCATTTTTAATATGTGTGTTTCCATTAAAATGTGACACATTAAGATGTTGAATTGGCTTCTTGTTTCTCACAGGCAAGATCATACATCTCCCAGTCCTTTCATGGTGACTCTTTGATGATTAGGAACTGCGTGAGATGTAACGTGCTGCTAGCAGGATTGCCATACTGGGCCAGAAGTGGTTTTAAAGAAGGGGTGTTATGTTAATGGGGTAACACCCCATGGTCAGCATCACCCCACGGCACTGAGGGTAGTTGCAGTTGGGGGTGGCACTGCTAAGTGCTGCTGTGTAGATGTTGGGTGGCACGCAGAAGTGGTCACCACTCCTATGTATAAGGTTGTATGGACAAAATAACTCCTCTTGTGCAAGATCACCATGTGCTCTTCTAAGAAATTAATTTAGAGGTGACAGTAGTGGGAAATACATTCCAAAATGTCAGGTTTAATTGTTTGGAAATTGTTTTTCATCAGAGTGGGCTCCTGTAGTGCAGCTGCCAGCATTTCCCTTGGGTTGTTGTGTAGGTCTGGTACACTGCGCTAACACAGAGGGGAACTGGTACATAGGGAGAAAGATGGTGGGGTGTGTTTTCCTCTAGTTTCAAACTTTCTGAGAACAAGTCATCCCTATTATACAGTGGAGACCTTTAAACATAATCTGCCAACATATGCCAGTTCAATTTTTCTGCAAGAATACCCAGCTAGCTGCGTGCTTGACACTGTGTACTGGGAGCAAGAACCAGCAGCTTCCCCATCCGGAGAGGCTGGGCTGGCTGGTCCGTGTGCTGCACCCAGTTCCTGTCCCCAGCATCGCCATGTCACCAAGGGGTGACTCCCACCCAGCAAGAGGTGGACCACGTAGCACCCGAAAGGCAATGCTCTTTTCTCCCTCTCCCCAGCCTGCTGTGCTTGGGGACAGGTCATCTGTTCCTTTGGCAGTGCCGAGAACTCCACTGGCTGCTTTAAAGCTGATGCTGATTTTTTACACCCTTGTTCAATTATTCAAAATAATTGCAGTGTTTTTGTCTTTGTAGTTTGTCACCATTTTGGAAGGAGTCTTGGCCAAACTGTCTAGATATGATGAAGGAACTTTGTTTTCTTCTTTCCTGTCATTTACTGTAAGTACAGACAGTGTTTTCTTCCTTCCGTTTTATTTTTTTTTCCCTGGATTGTGATCTCCTGCCCTCCCAGGATTAGATCAGCTACATAATGATCGTGCCATTCTGTGATGTTTGAATACTGTAACCCCCACATGAAAAGACAAACAACCTGCATACAGATACACAGTACCTAAGAACCCAAGATGCACAGGCCATTGTGTTGTAGGACAGAGTAGAGCCATCCTCAGTCATCAGTCAGGTTCACGGAGTTTATTTTGTTGAGGATGAGTATGAAGATGAAAAATAATCATTACACTGGACATGCAATTTCCCTGCCTAAAGAACTTGCTTTGTTGCAACCTTGCATGATGGATGTGTTCCTGTCAGTCTTCTGGCCATAACAGTGACCTGAAGTAGTAAAAAACAAAATAAGGGAGGTCTAGCAAGTGCCTTTGTGTTTCTAAAAGAGAACAAGGTAAGGGAAATGCCACAAGGTTACGCAGGACAAGGTGCCTCTAATGCCACATTTCTCCCTGATGTTGCAGAACAAATCCACAGCTCACCACAGTATGTATTTCCTAGAAAGGTGCAGGATAAGAACAGTATCTGTGCAAAATCGGCCTCAGAGCTTAGCAATCTGAGCTGTATTCCAGGAAAGTGTTGTGACAGCTTCTTAGGACAAACACGTAGCAGCTGATTTCCAAAAGTCTTCTGAAAATGCATGCCAGGATGTTTACACGAGTGTCTCTTTGCAAGGGTGGTGTCTTTTCTCTCAGCTCACAGGCAGGTGAGCACCCAGGTGCAGGTGGCTGGGCTTGCTTGGAAAGCTGCATGAAGAGTTCCACCCCTGGGCCCCCTGCCTGCTCGTGCAGCCCGGCCTGCACTCCCTTCTTCACAGAGACTGGGCAGGAGCCAGGAGGCACTGCTCTGCAAATGGGAAGGCTTCACAAAATCCCATTCAGGAGTTGTCTTAGCTCTGTCGTTTGCTACTTTGGGGCCTTTGTGCTGAGTTTGAAGCAGATTTGTGGGATTCATTTGGAAACAGGGATGGATGTGGGGAGGCTCACCAGTGGAGGCAAGAAACTCTGCTCATGGGCAGATGTGGGCATACGAAGTCTGGGAGCTTATCTAACTACCACGGAGTTCAGTCTGCACATCCTGACTTTTCAGGTGTGCTGGAGACAGTTTGTTCTTCAGAGGAGGGGAAGGGAGGGTGTCACTCACTGCCCCGTGGGGAAACTCTCCTCCCAGGTTAACCTCTGTGTGTTTACAGCCCCTGTGCTGTGCTCATCCCTGCTCAGGATGATGCAGGGGATGGCTTGAGGTGGACACCTTCCCTTGCTCCAGTGCTGAGGAGGGTTAGGACGTGCTCACATGCCAGCAGCAGAGGCTGTGGGGGCGGCAGCTTTCCAGGCATCGGACACACTAGCATCAGCCTGGGTAGACAGGGTAGCGTGCAGCCCTTCCTTCTCCGTGAATCCAAGCTGTTCCTTGGCTGATGCTGCACTGCTCCCACCACATCCTACTGTTTATGCTGCTGAGTGCTGCTCCCTTCCATTGCTGAACAAACCCCCCGGCCACACCTGAGCTCTCAACAGGAGGCAGCAGTCAGTGCATGGGGTTCAAGCATCCTCACTCTACTGCTCCTCAGACACTTGCCAACAACTAACTGCCCCAGCAGCAGCAAAACAGCCTGTCCTGCTCCAGCAACCCCACAGCCTTTGAACCTGCCCCTGTAGCCTCAGTTTCTTGACTGTCCAGCCAGGAAAGAATGTGCATCCAAATAGTTACTGTGTGTGCTGTATACACGTCCCCAGAAAGGTGCTGAGCCCTCATTCTCAGTGAGGAGGGGTCAGGATTGCTCCTTTCCAGGCAAAGGATGTCATTATTTGGCCTGCTTGTTTGCTGGGAGCCAGTGGGCAGCACCAGCTGCAAGAGGAGGCTGAGGAACAGCCCCAATCCTTTAGCACTGGGCTTAGAACGTCTCCCTTCCCTGCAGTAGTAATGTCATTTGCTGTGTTTAGTCTTTGCAACGATAAATAGAGAAACTCTCTCTTGTTACAGCATGCTTGCACCACCTCCCACGTTTTCCCTGTCTGAACAAATACAACAAAGTGTGATGGTCCAAGCCGCTGAGCTCTAGAAAGCATTAGTCTCCCACCTCCTTCCACTGACTTCTTTCATTGCGTGTTTTCCAGGCGCTCTGCAAGTGACATGTAATCGGGGGTCTTGTGACAGACAGTTTTGTCACCTAGTGGGATATCCTCATTTCCAATTCTGGCCTCGAAATTCAAGATAAAATTAATGCATCTGTTGTCCTAATAAATTCTCACTAGCCACTTCTCCTTGCAGAGCACTTTGAGAGGAAAACACCATTCTAAATTTGGCCAGACTTTTTTCTGTTGTTGTTCTGTTTGTTGCTATACTGAAGTGCATCTCGGCGGCAGCAGCCCGGGCCCTGGCTGGGCGTCTGCATGTGCAGATCCACTGAGTCACAGGAGTGACAGCTGCTAAAATCCCCTTGAATCTGGATGGCCTCTGTAGGTGGAGAAATTACACCTACGGCAATTAAAACTAAAGGCTGCATATCACCCGAGGGAGACAGAAGTAAAAGATCTTATTTTTGTTCTGCGCAAAATTTGTATGGTAAACTGAGACGTTTCATGGCAAAGTCACATAATTTGTGAAAAACGGCAGCCTAGCAAAAATCACACAACATCCGGCAGTTTGGAAATTTCACTAAATGTAGCCAAATCTGAGTTTAAAGAAAAACAAGTAATTATTCTGATTAAAGGGGAGTGGGCAGGAGAAGGAGCTCAGATTTTTGTGGGTGGAGGGAGGAGATCGCTGGAAGCCAGCTGAATTATTCTTGTTGCCTCTTGGCTTTGGGGAAGAAGGTGGTTTGAGACAGTGGTGCTAAGCTGGACCTCAGGGTGTTAAGTCCACATTCAGACTGTAGATTTCCTGGGGTGCCGCTGCATTGCTTCATGCCCTGGGTGATATCTGAAGATGCAGGTGGACCTCAGCTGGATTCTGCAGGCTGTCGAGCCACGCGGTTTCCCGAGCTCCCCCTGGTTCCTCAGCTTTGGTGCTCAGCTGAAGAGCTGGTTTGGAGCTAGCTCGGGCAGCTCTGCCTACGGCTGCTCCACGCCGGCGTGGGTGTGCCAAGACCGCCCGCTCCCGTGGAGCCGC